CATAATTTAATTCATCAAAAAATCAAAGTAACTCATTCTTCACAATTATTCTTTGGTACAGACGACGTCTAATTATCAATAATATGTTCCTCATCCAAATATTAGTTACTCAACAGATTTTACGAAGAAGTTTTTTTTATGGGAAAGTATTTTGTCGATTGAATGTTTTGTTAATAGAGATGTGACTAAAGTCAGAGTACAGGTGAGGATGAATGCACAAGTGCATTAAGGATATATCAGACATCCACACTCTCAATATGTTGTCGACGATCTACGACTGTCGAGAAATCCATTTAGACGAATAACACAGTTTTCTTCTATTTTATCAGATTTTGTTTCTTTTCTAGAAGACATATTTATCTTTCAATGCGAAGAATACAGTTTTCTATCAATAATATTTAGTTGCACAGCACTTGAATCCATATGGATTCTTTTTCTTTCTCTTTCCAATAATATTTCTTAAGTATTGTAGACCTTCAATGTCTTCTTTCAATTTTTACATATTCTTTCGCAATAAAATTCGTAGATGAAAGAAAAAGAAAAAAAAGTGACAAATGTTGTTATTTTACAAAAACAAACGAAACGAATCATTCCGCGAAGTGAATATTCAGTCACACACACGCAATACCATTCGAAATTTACAAACTATTACATTCTTTTCGAACCATTTCGTTTAAACAATTTCATTCGGGTAAATTTGACATTTAAATCATTGGGAAAAAGAGTTATGTTCGCAAGACTCTCCTGTACAAGGGCGAATAAGGTTACAGTATGGTTTCAACGCGACCAAAACGTTCCAACGAAAATCAAAATGAATTCTGATTCGGATATCGATGATTTAAAAGAAGCCATTTTTGGTCCAACCAATAAAGGACAATATCAGGCGACGTACAAGGCCGAAACATTGAGATCATCGGCGAGTGTACCACGGAATACAACTGACGATATGCTAGTTGTGTTTACTAAAATTGGTAACATACAACCTCCACCAGGTAAGTCAAAAACTTTTATTAGTGTTACTTCCATTGAGTTAAAAATGAAAACTATCATACCTACAAGACTTCAAGAGTGATCATACTATGTGTATACCACAATGTTTATATATTCACTAGCGGAGGTACTCGATGTTGGTTTAGAGCCTTACAGACAAAAAACTTCATATGTCAGAAAACAACAGGAAATGCAGAGAGAGAGAGAGAGTTGTGCTTGAGGTTTTCATTTATCATCACAACATATCTCGCCATACATATCCCAAATAGAACAACTCGGGTTATCGAGCACTCAAAATTCACCTGATTTTACACATCTCGCTGCAACTCTATCTTCACTTCATTTCGGATCTAAAAAGGCTTAGATTTTGGATTAAAGCTTTATCTATCACGAATACACACACGTCCACGATGAAGCACGATATTCCAACGAATATTGTGTGCGGGTGATTATCTCGCTTCGCGATCGCCCTCATTTCTGTACAATAAAATCAGACCAGCCCGAAAATGTAGTAATAGATAGATACTCTAAAGATCAATCAAATGAGCTAAACGAAATTTGGTTAAATATTAACCATCTTCTGCCTCCCATCCCCTCTCGACTTTTCCTGTACAGAAAAAAGTGTCATGGACAGTTGGGTTACGTAAGCTATCATAGGACTACCTGGGTGAAATATCACCCACCCCGTCACCTTGACTACGCCAACCCCATGTCGATCTTGCTGTGGGCCCAGAGGACTCCTGTAGAAGGGTGTGGGTGCGGGTGTGACAAGGGTAAAAGAGCGTAATCTTGGAATTTAAAACGGTT